AGAAACTTGACCATTAAGGAAACAGGATATAGACAGACTGTCGGTGTTTGAACACGGCTGTCTACGCAGTATTGCACGAGTCTGGTGGGGCAGCCTGACGAGCAATGCTGAGGTGAGGCGCAAAGTTTTAGGCAACCGCGGTCGCCCACTGGAGCAAGTGGTCGACCTCCATAGATTACGCTGGTTGGGGCATGTGTTACGCATGTCACCAAATAGGTTACCATGGCGAGCGATGTTCGCCAAGGCAAGTAGTGGATGGAAGAAAGTCAAGGGTGGTTAAACTAAGACCTTGCACGAGGGTATGAAAACCCTGACCAGGGGACTGGGTTACATGGATACTGTTATGCTCCCTGGCTGGAGACCTCGGGATGTTCGTACCCGATGGTTAGAGACACTGAGGGATATGGCTGAGTGTCGTAAACAGGGGCATTCGTGCATCTTCTCAATTTCTCTGCTTCATTAGACCACTGAACTTCTCAATTTTCTTTTCGACTCTACTTTCAACTTTCCTGTCTTCTCTCATTCGTAATCCAAATTGGTAGCCGGAAGACGGCAACCAAAACCGGCGCACGAAAGTGCATGGATAATGGTTGTACAAACCGAAACTAAGGATTGAGATTACCTGATAATGTCCAGCTAGCAGATTAATTGTTAGATCTATATCACCGATAGCTGGGTGCAATAGTATAAGCACAGTGAGTCCTAGCTTGACGTATTGAATAGTATAAATAAGATAACATTGCAGCGCTTTTAGCTTTTGGGATATGAATGCGTGATCAATGGCCTAAGTTTTGCGCTAAGGTTTTTTCTCCTCCAACCGCTTACTCCAAAATGTACGTCACGTCTAATCCTGTACAGTACTGATTTTCTTTTACGCACTGATTTGAAAACACTCCGGTCCTCATTTTTGATTAATTGTACTTTCTTGCAATTCACTTTTCAGCTGGTCCAATCGCTCTTGCCCGAGAATGGTTACTTAGCGATGATTCACCATTTTTTGTACTCAATAGTGATATTATTTGCGAATTCCCTTTTCGTGATTTGATCAAGTTCCATTTGAGTCACGGCAAAGAAGGTTCAATCTTGGTAAGTGGAACGGTGTTTGAATGAAACGTGTCCTGTTTGAATTTGTGGTTTGTGTTTTAGAACACACCAACCGCGAGTTGGATATTTGTTTACACAGTAATCAACTAGACTCATTTAGGGAGATCGTTTTACCTATGAGATATTAAATTTCCTTTACAGTTGCGATCCAGATATCAAAAAATTGAATGAATCTCAAAGTCAAAGTCAAAGGCTTATTATGGGTATAGCTTACAAGCTGGTGCTTCTCTTGTCCCATAGGATGTCTACACAGATAAATCGTTACACACCGAAAAAGGAGTCGCATAGAGATCCGGGTAGGAGATAGAGGATAATAGAGAATGTATGCTTCAGTTTGCTTTTAGTGGTGTACGAATGTGAGATGTGCCAAGGTTTCATTGAGTCTTTGCTTGAAAGATTCAATAGTGGGTGCACAAATGACATGAGATGGAAGAGCGTTTCAAGATTTGCATACTCTGACTGCAAAAGACTGGCGCCGGCAATCCAATCGAGACTTTGAAGACAGTGGCTTGAAACGTGCCCCCATAGGTGTACATTGCTTGATAACATGATCAGCGATCGATACGGATGGTTAGGGTTCCGCAGTATTTGAAACGTCAAAATCAAGTCTCCTCGAGTTCG